CATTACTCTGAGAAGCACAGAGCCGGAGACAGAAGCCTGAAGATGATGAATGAGACTTCATCGAAACGTTGCCTAGATACTTCGAATCTTACGCGGGAGAAAACCCGAACAACCAAAGATCCATATACAAATACCCGCAAGAACCTCAGAAAACAAACATACATACATACATACATATATATATCATTTTGAATGCAGTGTATTGTCAGGGCATACCATTTACAGAAAAGCAAAGAAAATAAAAAGGAATATTAAAGTATATACAAATAACAATAATAGCGTAACAGAATAGTTTTAACTAGATGCCTCTATATTAGCTTATTTGTAATTCTGTTGGTTATATTGGCCTGTTTACAAATATAAACCATCTTTATATTTAATTCATATATAGCAATAATCTTTCTTCATCCAATTACTACCTCTCACCTCTAACCACTTGTAAAATCTATTCCATGTTTTGATAATATTCTGTGTCTTCTTTGTCCTTTGTTTTTAATGTCTATCTACCCATTTCTGCACAGTCTCAATATTTTTCAAATTACATCCTCCTCTGATGGAGTGTTCTCGTTTTTCCAATATTGTGCAAATACCGTCCTTGCTGCTGTCAGTGCATGCAAAACTAAATATATGGTCCCTTGGTCTAGCTTGCTCAGAGACCGTGCTGTCCCATTCTTTGCTCAACGTTGAGGCCTGTTGAAAATGTTTTCTGACGGAAGGAGATCTCCGAAAAAATCAGCTTCTTTGAGCAATTGGTTTCTCCCCTGAAAACCTCCCCCGCCCTGGGTTTTACCATCTTCAAGAGAGAGCCATTTTAGGATTGTTAGGGATCGTTAAATATCTTTTGAAAGAAAGTAGGAACTCGGTTGAGTTTATAACCGTTCCGGGAGCATCCTTTAACGTTCTTCTGTTTCATTTAATCCACCCATCAATTCTCCTTGAGTAAATATAGCATCATTTGAAGTAATGGCGTCGGGGGTGCAACCAGTGCCTCCCCCTTTCTTCTTTGCCTTCTCCTACTGTTTCCCACCTTTATTCTTTCCCTTAAAGATGTGTGTCACAGTTTGTCACTCTAGCAGAAGAATAACGCAACACCCGGTCTTATTTCTGAGGCAGCGGCCTCATATTTCTGCCAACACCTTTGAGAATTTTCCCTGCCCACTCCTGTGAGTAATAAATTCTTGGTTTTCTGAAATAACTGTCAGAATCTGACTCGGAGGAGAAGCCAAACAGCTGACAGGGAGTGGGAGGGTGGCTCCGTTGGCTGTGGAAGAAACTGGGGAAGGGCAAAGTCCGACTGGGCAGAGCAGGGGGGAGGTAGAGCAAGGGAGAGGGAGTTCAGAGGAAGATCCAGGCCCACCCCCTCTTCATCCTAGGTACGCAGGGAGGAATGGAGAAGAGAGCAATGTGGGTTGCATGGCTTATGGGGGAGGAGAGGGCCCTGATTCCCTTCATTAGCTGCAGCTGGGAACAAAGTGTATTTAAAAAAAGCAAGCTGCATGCAGCAAGCTGTTGGGAGCAAATGTGAATTTATCTTGTATCATCGTGTCTTATCTGTGTTCCCGGCGTCTTCCCAACTATGTGAGTTTTGTGCGTTCAAGTCTGAAATTCCTTCTCCTGCCCTGTCAAGTTAATTACTTCAGTTTGGTTTGTTTGGATTTTAAGTTATCGTTTATGTGTACCTTGTTTTGGACTGAATTTTCTACAGTTAAAGGCTGTTCCTGGGAGAGTTTTTCTCCAGCCAAAGGTAACCTGGACATTGGCAGCAAAGTTGGAGATAATTTGCTTATCTGACTGTGTTGCCTTTGTGCCATGCCCCGGGTCATCACAATAACTGAGAGGGCTTCTTTTATAGGTCGTACCAGCCATCAGCTGAAGACATTCCCAACCTTCAAAACCATCGAAATGACCCACGAACGGGACTCCACCAAGTTTGACGGTACGCCGGGTTTCAAAATGGGGTTTGTCTTTTAAAAAGAGAGAGAAGGAAGGAGAAGATAATTTTCTGTGCAGTTTTAATTTGGGTTTACAAGGAACAAAAACGTCAGGAGGTTGAGGAAACGGAGGAGGAGGAATTTAGGAAGCGAAGGTCTGGAAAAGATGAGGGAATGTTGTCCCCAAAGTGCTTTTTCACGAGGCAACTGGACTTTCTGGTTTTTCTTTGAAGACATTTCGCTTCTCATTCAAGAAGCTTCTTCGGCTCTGACTGGACGGTGGGGAACGGAAGGATTTATACTCCTTAAGTATAAAGGAGTATAAAGAAGTATAAATCCTTCCGTTTCCCACCATCCGGTCAGAGCTGAAGAAGCTTCTTGGATGAGAAGCAAAATGTCTGCAAAAGAAAAAAGCCAGAAAGTCCAGGTGCCTCTTGGAAAAATGAAAGCACATTTGAGACAACCGTGACCTGGAGGACTGAGAATCTCCGTAAACATGAGGGAATGTTGAAGAGCAGATCCAGGTCTGGAGAAACATGAATTGTCCAATCTCCCAAAATTGAAGAACAAAATTAAATTTTAAAAAGCTGTGGTGTTGTTTTTTTTTGTCAAAGGTTTGAACTATTTACTTGTAGACAGCTTCAAAAATTGGGTTCCAGGGCTGGAAGACGCCCACCCTGTCTGAGTAAATGTTAAATGCTTGTGATGTTCAGCTGAACGCATGGCAGCTCTGAGAAGCCTCCATTTTTCCCCTCCTGTTCAACAGGAAAAGAAATCATGGCCGTCCTGAGGCGGAGAGCTATAGATGAGAAGACCAACGTGAGGAAATCGGCCCTCCAGGTAGGTATCTCACCTCTTCTGCTCCTGCCCAGGCCGATCAGTGTTCTCTAAAAGGAACGTCGTATAACAGAACACGAAAACCTGCAAGAGGGGACAATTTTTTTCCATGATTTCTCTAGTTTAACAGCAGGCCCGCCATCGGACAAGCCCCTCAGAAAACACAAGGATGGGGTTGTTTTGCTCAATAAAAACACCGGATCACCAACCCATTTAACATATTCATATTTTTAATTAGCATTTTCATGCCATCCCTACTCCCAAAGGTGGTTTTTTTTTTTTTTTTTTTACAAGAGGCCACTGGACTTTCCGTTTTTTTGTTTTTGTTTTTTCTTTGAAGAGGTTTTGCTTCTTATCCAAGAAGCTACTTCAACTCTGGCTTTCCATTCCCCACCATCCAGTCTCAGCTGAAGGATCCTCTTGGATGAGGAGCAAAACCCCTTCAAAGAAAAACCAGAAAGTCCAATAAAATGCCTTCTTCCTCCTCTTTCCCGCTCCCTAACAACAACCCTGTGAGGTGAATTTGGGCTAAGAGAGAGAAAGAAAGGGAGACTGGCCCAAAGTTGCCCAGCTTGGTTTCATAGCTAAGCCAGGACTAGAACTCCCAGACTCCTGGTTTCTAGGCTAACACCTTCAATATTGCTCTATTATAACTACAATATTTCTTTGATTCGT